ATTCGATCTTGAAGACCTGAAGAGAGGGGGTAATAAGAAAGTGAGAATAGCGTCAATAGGCGGACGCTCACTTCTCCAGGTTTCACGGTCGCAAAGGGCGGGATATCGGGACTGAAGTTAGGGAGATTATCGTCTGCATTCCCGCATGAGAGTACACTGCATAGCGCGCTTACTGCCAGCGATTATGGATTCCCTGGAACGGAGTGAGAAGATGGACCGCGTCAAATGAGTCCAACTCACTTTCTGCTGGTCCGCAGGACTGCACCACTCGCGTTCAGTAGACAAGTCCTCCCATCCCTCGAACCTCAGAACTCACATGAACGGATCGACCTGCAGGATTTGAGTATCAACTCGACTATATGGACGGACACGAGCACGCACCTGAATCAAGGTAGGATGCGGGACAGAGTTCGCCTGGGTCGCCATGACTGGGGAGAGCAAGAAGAGAGATTGCACGACGCACCAGTATCTTCTCTTATCTATCCCGCTTCTCAGGCACCTTGATACCGCGTCGAAGCTGGGAAAAAGGTTGACAAAAAAAAGTTAGCAGGTAGTCACGGGTCCGTGGCGTGAGTACGTCTCAAGTCGATTCACGCTGGGCCAGAAAGAGGGGGGAGAATGTTCGTCGGGAATGCGGGTATGACCCAGCAATCCACGGAACGAGTATGCATATGCACGCGTGAATAAGTAGTGAGTCTGTGAGTTGGTACAAGGAGCCGATCGCGAATGAATGAATATCATCCTCGTCCCTCCCGCGCCTAACGCGCGGAGGAAGCAGTAGTATCACGCTAGGAATCCCCCCGCCTTACAACGTAACGATCCCAGCTCGGGAGCATCACCGACGACGGCATGTTATCCACGCGCATCGCCTCGAGCACCTTGAGCATCTCCGCCTCGAGCGCCTGCTCCTTCTCGCGCCGCGTCGCCGCCCCCATCCCCGCCGCCGCCGCGCTCCCCTTGCCCTTCCCCTTGTCCACCGCCCGCCCGTGCCCGTGGTGTGCGTGCCCATGCCCATGCCCATGCCCATGTGTCTCGCACGTATGTGAATGCGAATGCGCATGCCCGTGGTCGTGTGAATGGTGGCACGCCAGCGGCCCATCGACCCCCGGCGCCGGCGCAGGCACGATGACGACCTTGAGCTTGCGCTCGTCCGCGCGCGTTCGTGCGAACGGGAGGGGTTTGGGCTGTTTAGGCTTCGCGATGCCGAGGCGCTCGTGCAGCTCTGCCATGGCTCCGCCTGGACGGGAAGAGGGGGCCGCGGCGGCTTGGGATGACGAGGAAGACGGTGCCGTGGAGAAGGAAGAGGAGGAGGGGGACGTCGAAGAGGAGGTGGGGGAGCCATGTGAGGGTGGGGGGAGGAGGGCGAGCAGCTCCTGGATCGCTTCAGCGTTTGTTGGCTGAAGTTTCAGAATTGCGCGTAAATCTAGGGGCTCGTTAATGGTTTGTTCACGGACGGCGAGGGGATGGTACATGCCGCGGATAGCTTCGTCTGTGCGGCCGAGCATCTTACGTGCTCGTGCGCGACGAAAGTATCCCTTTCCGGAACGGTGCTGCGTCAGCGCTTTGCTGCACGCGGCCTCCGCTTCCATCCAGCTGGATATTCGAAAGTAAGCAAATAGTGACTGAGAGGGGACATAAACGTACTTGCTCAGCTTTAAATGCGCTGCGGCGAGATTAAGCTGGTAATGCGGGAGTTCGGGCTCGATCTGGTAAGCAGCTTCATAGTGCTTGACGGCCAGCGCGAACTCTCCTTTGCGAAAAGCGACGTTACCCTGCATGCAACGCGGTCAGCTGGCACTCGGACGCGCGGCGTTATGCACACCTCCTCCTTTTCGCGTTCGGCTTTGATATACCGCCACTCCATCAGCTCCCCAATCGTCATCTCGCTCTCGGGTCCGTCGTCGCACTCCTCCGGGTCCATCCCCCCAAAGTCGAGACCGATCTCCCAGATATCCTCCTCCTCCTCCGTCTCCCACCCGTAAACACCACTCCCTCTCCCATCCCACTCCCGCTGCTTCCCAAGCCTGACCCCGCTCTCCTCCTCGTCCTCGCGCACCGTCCGCTCGCACACCTCGCCGAGATGGTCCGTCGAGCAGCCGCAGTCGCACCACTTGCTTGTCAGCTTCTCTCTGAGGACCATCCCGTAGCCGCGCACGTCAAACTCGCGCGCGACGCGCCACAGCGTCTGCGCGAGCTTCTCGTACCCGAGGTGCACCTTTGCGCGCCAGTCCTCGTGCGCGCCCCACCCCGCGGCGCCCGCGTACTTGAGCTCGCACGCCTCCTCGAGCGCGTCCTGACCCTCCTGCAGCGAGCCCAGATGCGGCGGCTTGGCGAACGTCGCGGGGGGCATCGCCTCGAGGAGGTCGAGGTGCGCCTTGAGCGCGGCGTAGTGCGGGAGCAGCCGCATCGAGTGCAGACCGCGCTTTTTGCAGATGCTGATGTTGTTGGAGAGGGCAAAGTGGCGCAGGGCGGTGTACGACCATAGGACGCTCTTGGTCGCGACGCGCTCGCCGGCCTGGCGCATATCCATGCTGATCGCGGCGCGGAAAAAGTCCTTGATGTCGTCGGCGTCGGCGTTGTATGCGACCCAGCCGGGGCCGGCGAGGGCGGCGCAGCGCATGACGAAGGTGGGGAGGTGGACGAGGGCGATGCTGTAGAGGCGCGTGGAGAAGAGGCGCGCAATGTCCTGCTCGTAGCGCAGCAGCAGGATGCGGGCAATGGCGCGCTCGAGCTGCGAGACGGCGCTCAGGGTCTGGGTGATACTGCGGTCGGTATGTGGATTCGCCGACCGCGCGGATTTCCCGTTGGGAGACTTTTTGAGGGTCCCGGCGGCGGACATTTTTTTGATATGCGAGTATTTTGCAGGCATTGCGATAATTTAAAAGTTGCCTATAAGTTCCACGGACCGCCGACACGTTATGTGCGGCGTTTCTAGGTGCGGTTCAAGCTATATACAGACAAGTCCAAGGAAAGTCTGAGAGAACGCGCTGTACACCAGTTTTCCTGGGTCAAGATTTCGACGCTACACCCTGCGGATATGGGCGTAAAGACCAAGAGTGCCAGCAAACGTACTGACAGAAGACTGTTGGTGTGAGAAATCGCGGTCGAGGCGGTGAATGGTCGGGCGGAAGCTCCAGCCAAACAATCGAGGACTGCAGCCAAATATCCCTCTTGTCCCAAACCTTCATGCAGAGTTTCCAGCGGCTTCGAATCGGACCAAGCGACAGGATTTCGGATCCGTTTCCCCAAGACTTCCCCCAGAATGCTTCTTACTACTGTCTTTCCGTGCTGAGGAACTCAAACCCAAACTCGGACTCTCGGCGAGTACTCGGAATCGCAAGCCTGTGTTGAAAGGACGCCGGCGTGACGATATTCATGAGTCGTTGTGCATCGCGGGGTCACCCTCTGTATCCACCAAACTCGGAATCTTGTTTTTACACTTCCGACAACTCCAGTCCGAAAATCTCGCTGGACCTTGCCTTCCCAGCGAGAGGTCGACCAAAGAATCGACCTGTCGTACTGTGATACCATCTATCCGCCTCCGTAGCGGAGGCCCTCAAACGCCGCTGGCATACACGGGAACAGCACGGGAAAGAATTCCGGTCTCGGCAGGACATCCGTCAGGACATCCGTCTTGCTTCAACAGATCATCCATTCAAAATATCGAACTTACGGCTGTCGCCGAGTGGATCTTTCCTCGCACCTATCGATGTCAACCAAGATTTTCCTTAAACCGCAATTGTTTCTGGTTCAAAATTCCGGGAACAAATCGAAAGCCCCTGCGCGCATGGAGTCCCTCCCACACGCGGCACCGTGAAACTCGTGAAGTTCCTCAAACTCTAAGTATACATACGGTTCTGGTATTACAACAAGCCCACGAATCGCAAGATGATATGCAACCCTATCCTTCAAAACCCGGCATAAGTAACCTCGACCTCGCCTGCGCTGAGCGGAGCAAGCACTTCGAACGCCGAGATCGTCAAATCCAGCCCGTTCCCACTGCATTCCACACATTCGTCTCCGACCTTCACCGTAACGCTGGTGCCGCTCTCATCTATCAAATGATCAATACAACAATATAACTGAGCTGGGAAGAGGAATGCTCGACGTACTCTCAACGGTGAATACGGTCCCACAGTGGTCGCCGCCGGCGAAGTTGGCGGGCGACAGCGCGGCGACGAAGTCTGTGTCTTGGATCGCGAATCCGCAAGCACCGGGTAAGCCTCCAGGGGCGAAGGGCGTGGCTGGACGAACAAATATGGATGTTAGCCCGCCCGGGCATTGACGAAGAGCGGCGCACCTTAGCCGGTTACTGTCGCAGCAGCGACGGCAACAAACGCAGCGAGCGACGCGACGGCCTTGGTGAAATGCATGATGATGATGAGAAATGGAGGAAGAGAGGTTGCTTGGGTTGGTGTTCGTTGAGTGGATTCGATGATCTTTATACTTCAACATTGACGGCGCGTTATGGTGGGCGGGACGCCCACAGAAAATCAAAGCTCCATGTGGCCGTACATTATTGTTCCTCGGGACGCCGTTCCCCTTGCGTCCCCAACCGGCCACGGCTGGTACATGGGCGGCTAACGACATGTTTGGTTGAACTGCCGTATACTATACCAACCGAACAATAACGTTGTGGTAGTGAAGGCGAATTCGAATTTATAGACTTGCAACCAAAGCAACATGACAAGCCCTTCTACCCTGTCGCATATCCGGAGCTTCCGGGTCCAATGTCCATCTCGATGCCGGAATGAGCGGCGTTCGTAGGAATTCACGTATTTGAAGACCCCGACCACGCCTGAATTCGTCTGAACTCTGTTGGGAGCAATTGAGGGTCAAACACGCGATCCACGGCAATTACCACTGGCGGAAATTGGAAAATAATTCTACCGCCTCCTGACGCTCTACAAGAAATGGGCTCGTACCTCGCGTTATAGAGGTTTGGTGTACTTTGATCAATGATTCTCAAGCCATATAACTTATTGGTAACTATTCACCAATCCGATATGGTGTAACGGTAACATACGCGCCTCTCATTGTTTGAGTCAACGCGCGTGCCCGGGGTTCGATTCCCCGTGTCGGAACTTTTGCTTAACGGTTTGCCTTTTTGCTCACTCCCGCAACTTCACTCAACGCTCGCTAAATTGAGTGGAAACTGAGCTGAACTGAACTGAACTGAACTTCCAAAATTTGAACAGAATGCAAGCGCAAAGTCGAATTCCAGCGCAAGAAAAAAAAAGGAAACATAAGTACCAAACATTACCGGGCGAAGTTTTGAGCGCGTCAGGTTACCAACAGGGAGAGCAGATGACTTAGGTAGTTTTGAGCAGTTCCTATACTAACCACACAAATATGGAGCTGCACATGAGGCTCAACCGTGAGATCCCGGCGCCAGCCGAGATGCCGAGGTGCGCAGCGGCAACCACGGCCAGGCACAAAATTGACAACTCCAAGATTGTAAGACGGTCATTCTCCCGAGGGGCAATCGCTATGCATACTGTCTTGAATTTCACCAAAGATGTATCGAGCCTAGGGAATTTAAATTGCAGAAATTGAACCGCAGAATTCGGAAATTTGTAGGCAGTACAGTATTTCAGTTGTCAAGCCTTTTTCCTGGACCGCTGCGCTTCCGCCCGTGCCACCGTCAATTTCTGCTGCCCTTCAAAGTACGCTGCCATCGTTGAGGCCGGACCCACGCTCAGGAATCCGGCTACAAGACGCCCTACACCCATTACCTCCTGCGCCTCGCCAGCCACCGCATCCACCGCGTACCACCCCAGAAAGAGCACGACAAATCCGACCACGTCAACTGCCATGAAGTAGGAAGCCAGGGTAAAAGTTTCCCCCCGGCGGGAGTAGGCGTTGACTGCCTTCCCGAGGGCGAGCCACCACGCAGGTGCGTAAAGATACTTCAGCGTAGTGAATGCGGAGATGGTTAAGGTTGGAACGGGCGTTGGTGTGCTCTCTGCATCCGGCTCCTTGGAGTGGGCAAGGAAGACGAGAGGCAGGAAGAAGAACGGGAAAGCCTGCCATACGTAGTTGATGTACACCCAGCTCGGGTTCGTCACGGGGACATATGTTACCACGAGAGAGAGGAGGAAAACAGTGAATTGAATGGAGAGGTGGATTGTCGTATACGTATACGTGGGTGGGGACACGGTAGGAGGATTTGGGGAGGTCAGAGACTTGGAGACGGCGTAGAGGAGAGGAATGACGATGGGTCCCAGGATGCCAAGCCCGACGGCCTGGCCCCCCAGCTGGAGTGCGATGATAACAGCAGGGGAAAAAATGGGGGAACCGTTACGCTCGCCTGCCTTGGTGTTGAGGTAGGTCGACAGTACCCCGTATGAGGAGAGCACCTGTGGTCTAGATGTGAGTTCTTCCCCGACGGACGATGGTGTTGAGCGCACCATGCCAGACGCGCCAAAGGCGTTCAGGAAACTCTTCCCAAGCTCGTTGGCCACGAGTTCCTTGAAAAATGGTTCGACAATACAGATGAAATTGTATAACGGGTTTGTCTTGGAGTAGATGCACGTTTCGAGATAGACTCGTTACCAGTCTGCGCTACGGCAAAGGGAAATGATGAGATTATTTGCCGTAGGCAGACTGGTACAACTGGGGCCACGCCAAAGGGCTGCGCCCGGAGTTTGAATTTTTGGCGGGAGCCGAGGCTGCCGATCGGGTGGCTGTGTTCAGCCATCAATTCCCCGCCAAAATTAACTTTTTCACAGCTCAGCCTTTGGGCCATAAAATATTATTCTGGAGAGACAGAACTCAAGTTTAATGGTTCTAAATTACCGATTTCCAAAAAAGTTCTGATAGACCCCCAGATTTGAGCAAAATCCAGCTTCGGGGAAATCTTTTCAAACTCCGGGCACAGCCCTTTGATTAAGTCCGAGTTGTACCAGTCTGCCTACGGCAAACAACCTCACCCTTTCTTTTGCCGTAGTGCAGACTGGTTACGAGTCTAGTTTCGAGATAACTATCAAATAACGGTCCCATTGGCGGTTCCACGAGAGCCATCCTGCGATGATACATTGATAAACACTCCTCCGGAAGACTATAATATGTACCTTAGGAGTTTGATTCCGAGCGCGGCGCAAATAATCACAACTTTAAAAGCCGATCCAAATGAGCGAGCGTGAATTTGAGAAGTGGAAATACGCGCCTGGGACAAAGCCGCGGTGGAACATTCTGAGAGTTGAAGGTCAAGGAAAACCCTGCTAATTGAGCTCGTTATAAAGGAACTCGGCTAACGAGTTCTCGGAATTCCTTTTCCGACAGCTATAGTCTGAGTAAGTATAGGTGTTGATACCGAGTCATCGGAATGTTTTACGCTCGGGTCCGCATTGGGTTCGCATCTTTACGGGCTGCCCACACCGCTATCGCCTCTTCGTGTTGACTCGAACGGAATGTGTAAGTACTTGGTGGAGTGGGATTATTCCGAAACGAGAACCCCACCGATCAGGGAAATTTTTTAATGCGAAACCTCCGGGATTCCGGCGCTCGGTCTTGGCATCAACAGTTGCCCGAATGGGGGAGAGTGACCGTGCGTTGTGCTGCGCTACGACCGATGGTTCTCAATGTAAAATTATGCTGGGTGTATTCTATCTTTGACCACAGTGGGTTATTAGCCCGAGTCCTTGGAACAGCATCATGGCCTAGCAATCCGCGCGATTGATCGTATCAAATAGCTATTCCCACGGTTTAACTCTTTCAGCGATCTCATTTTGGGGTGGCATTTGGGTGCCACCAGCGATTTAATACGAGATCTATCAAGCCTCGCTGTCTTCCTCTCACTCAATTCTAAGCCTCTTGAAGTTGTATTGGGCCAAAGTGAATCCTGTCTGGCAAGCGAAAATTTGCTGCAGCGCGATAGCGACCGACGTGTAGTGAGACAAACACACGAGAAATTGGCGAAAAGCACGCAGTCGAAGCCGATGGAATTTAATTTTCCACCCAGATCTTTGCTTGATCTTTGACTCTGCGCCGAATCTATGCTGTCCGAGCTCACAATCATGGGATAATGGTAGACACATATCAAAGTGTTTATCTAATCTATCGAGAAAAGTCTAGGAGGGTGGAGGAGGAGGGTGTATTACTGCAGAGGTCCCTATAGGGAACAAGCAGGAGTTTGCGGACATACATTTGTCCTTAATGTATGCTAAAACCATCAACAGCAGTCCTCCGAACGAGCCAGCGATCGCTGCTTTAGTAGCCCCCAGCTCACCCACCAATTGTCTGCCTCATCCTCCGCATCGTAGCCGAAGACAGTCTTGATTTCCTCCCACTCGGGAGACTCTTCCCCGCCGTCGGCGACATCGAAAAGATTAGTGCCCGTGGCGGCCAACGCCATCATCCCCTGGTCGCGCTTCTCCTGGTCCGGGCAATTAGGCATTGACATGTACTGTATGATCCCAGTCTCTGAGGCCAGCACCGTCTGGCAGCGCGGCTGCCGGAGGTCTTGGAACGCATAGAGGAAATCACTGATTTGGCTCTCAGTGCTCAGGTGCGAGAAAAGCTTCGCCAGCACAGCGCCATCTTCGAGACCCATGGCATACGACTGTGTGGAGCCGACCTAATAGAAAGCAGTGGGACACGTTCATTTGGAGGGAATGAAAGAACTAACTGGAATAGGATGGGCCGCTGATCCGACGACGACGAAACGGCTACTTTTGTCTACCCAACCCTCCAGAGCAGGATGCTCGAAGATAGGATAACGACGCGGATGAGATATCATTGGCCCCAGGTTTTTCAGTCTGAGGACGTTCAAATCAAGAAAAAAAGAAAGAAAAGGGCTAGTCTGCTTACCTGGGCTCCACATGTTCCAAGGCGTTACGCATCCCCTCTTCCGGTGCGTCCTCAAAGTCATCCCATGGACGATACAGGCAAAACGAGAGTGAGGGTAAACCACCCTGCGAATCTCCATCAGTGGAATTACGAGGGTGGAATCGGTGAAACGCACGATTGGATGGCTGATAACAGATTGACCATTTCCAAAGTAAGAAAACATGGTGACCTAAATGGATTTATTACACCGGGAACGGAGCGAGTGAGGCGCGACGAACGTCTTCTGGCTCGAAGAATTTCTTGGACTGTGGATCCTTCACTGCCAAGGCTTGTGGTACGAGGGCACTATAAGCGTCCATCAGATGTTAAGGAGGCAGGTAAAAGTTAAGCTTACGTGTACATGCACAAAGATGGTTCCAACGCCTCTTGGATGCCTTGTTCCGCCAGCAATAACGGCCGTACCAGACCTGATACACCGTCGGCGCCAATAATTACATCGGCCTTCAGGGTTTCGCCGGAACTAAGAGTGACTGTCCGTTCCTTCGGACTAACTGCCACCGCAGTCGCATCGAGACGAATTGTAGCGCCTTGACCGACGGCAAGGTCGTACATCATTTTCCGAAGGTCTGCAAGGTGCGCAAACCTGGTAAAAGGTTGAAGAAGGAGTGAATGCACAAAGATGGCGCTTACAGGTATTCTCCTCTCGTCTCGCGTAAGACCTGTGAAGGATTGCTCGATGACGCCTTGGGGAGAACCGAACAGAATCAAGTACCTCTTCGTCCCAATGATGTGTTCCCAGTAGAACCCCCGTTTCCACTGGAGTCGCTCAGTAACAACGTTGACCATTGAGTTAACACTCACGACGTGAAATTTGGATCGCTTTGGATTTTGCCGCGAAACTATACACCTCGGACTGCAGGCCCCAATGATACAGGATTTTGGACAAGTTGGGCGGCAGACGGACATCCCGAGAGACCTGGTATTTCGATGTCGGGTCGAGGGAACACGTAGTCGACGACAAAGACATACGTTGGATTCTCCAAGTTTCTTCTCTCGTTCTAAAACAACGACTCTGTGACCAACTCTTTGCAGGGCGACGGCGCAGGCGAGTCCCGAGACGCCCGCGCCGATTACTAGAAAGTTAATGCTGAGTGTTGCCCGGGTCGATGCGTCCTTGTAGTGTGGTGAAGCGGGCGAAAGAAAACGGGACCTTGGTGCTCACCTGGAGCGGCATGTTGGGCGAAAGGTACAAGGGATTTGTTGCACTGCACAGTGCATTGCCGATAATGACGGG